TAATGTCCATGTGGACATTACAGTGTTTGTATACATGACACTGTAAGATATGGATCTCTAATGGAATGGGGAGTAGTTTTATTGTAATTTACTGCCTTTTCTTCCCCAGCTGAAAAGGGAGTAAATGTCCAAGATGACGTAGACCTAGGAAATAACCCATTTTCCCAGGCTCTGGTTCCAAGAGCCTCCTTTTTAGAGGCCCATCAAGGAAGGTATACAAGGTGGTCAGAGAATATTGAATGTTAAACCATCCAAATTTCATTGAGGCTGACCAAATTTGGCAACCACAACTTTACCACTGACATATGGAACTAAGAAACCTAAGATCTGAAAAGACAAAGGGATCACCAGTCTACCCCAGGTCACCTCTAGTTCTGTGGTAAAAGTATTCCAAATTTCTAGTCCACAGGACCATCTGTTCCAGCCATAGAACACTGCATCTCTTCCACAGCAATAAAAGCTCGTAACTCTAAGGCTTTCTCTGCTTACTGCAAGGCTCCTAGACCAAAGACCCTGCAAGCACTTCCAGGGGACCATAAATAAAAGATTTAGCATTGCTATGGGCTGAATGTTTGTCCTCACCCCCCCAAATTCATATGTTAAAGCCCTAGCCCCCCAATCTGATGTTATTAGGAGGTGAGGCCTTTGGGAGCCAATTAGGTTAAAATGAGTCACAAGGGTGGAACCCCCATGATGGGATTAGTGTCCTTATAAGATGAGGAAGAGACACCAGAGCTTCCTCTCTCCACAAAGAAGAGGTCATGTGACCACACAAGATGGTGGACACCGACAAGCCAAGAGAAGAGTTCTCAGTATAAAACTTACCTTGCCAGCACCTTGATCTTGGACTTCCTAGCCTCTAGAACCATGAGAAATAAATTTCTATTGTTTAAGCCACCCAGTCTATGGTATTTTGTTATGGCAGCCCAAGCTAAGACGAGAGGGTTGTGGTAATGTCTACCCAAAGGAACGCTGAGCTGTAGCTATACAGACTGCGTAGGCTGCTGTAGAATGAGATACACCTTAGGAGAAACAAGTGGCACAGAGTCTGAACCAATTACGATTGAGCGTCTACTAGAACATGCAAGGACAGGGCCGTATGAACATATGTGACAATATAAAGGGCACTCAAAGAGTGACAATGCCCAGGAATGACGCTGTGAATAGGGCAGTAACTGCAGAGGTAAGTGTGCACAGAACAATCTGCTCTTTCTTGACGAAGACACATTTCAGCTCATGTCCACATTCACAGAGGATCCATGAAGCGTTAGAGATCGATGAAATGGTTAGGACTGTCAGTCAAGGTGATGAGCGTTAGGGTAGTCTGGCAGGAAGACAGGGACCTCAAAACCCTCTTTGGCACTAGGATTCCATGATTCCATTCAGGATTTCACAAATGCAGGCAGTCTTTTTCTCCCCTCAACAAGGGCAGAGACGTTGTTTTCACACCAGTCATGGCCTCACACAGAAGCTTAATCCCTGGCTGGAAGGCAAAACATCTTTGTGGCAAAGCCAAGCAGGAATGTGAAGTGAAGCAGAACGAGAAACATTTTATTGCTGTTTGGGTCTTCGTTGCTGTGTGCGGGCTTTCTCTAGTTGTGGTGAGCAGGGGCTACTCTTTGTTGCGGTGCGTGGGCTTCTCATCGTGGTGGCTTCTCTTGTTGCGGAGCATGGGCTCTAGGTGCACAGGCTTCAGGAGCTGTGGCATGCGGGCTCAGTATTTGTGGCTCGCAGGCTCTAGAGCGCAGGTTCAGTAGTTGTGGCGCGCGGGCTTAGCTGCTCTGCGGCAGATGGGATCTTCCCAGACCAGGGCTCGAACCTGTGTCCCCTGCATTGGCAGGCGGATTCTTAACCACTGCACCACCAGGGAAGTCCCTGGTTTGGAGTTTTTTTTTTAATGACTTCAAAAGGCATCTTAAAAAGTCATACTCTTTTGGCAGTTCCAAGATGCAACTGCTGCTACAAGTACTAACACTTACCAGCAACTGACTGATGGACGCACTGCTTTTCTCAAAAGTACCCTTTCCCTCCTGGGGCTTTTCAGACCAAACTAAGTTTTTTGTGTGTGAGTGTGTGTGTGTGTGTCCATGCACACACAGAGACATAGCACACAACTGAAAGCCAAATGAAATTCAACAAATTTACCACTGTTAGGGTTAAATTGTGGAAAAAGAAATAACTATTGACATGCCTTTTCATTTGAACTATTTAGGTACTGCAAAATTTTCTTCCTACCGGTGGGAAATTAAACTAACAATTCTAAGTTAATGACTTGAGGGTAAACAGTTCCTTCTTTTATAAAATGAATTGGGTTTACCAAGACTTGCGTTTAAGTGAATTTCTCCTGTCCCTTTAAATCAAGTAAAGGCATGATTTCAGCGAATTCCTAGACTTCATGAGAAGCTTCAAAAGAAATACGATTTTTCGCCCTTCAGTTGCACATTAACTCCACATCTCCCCAACACCTGTTATGCATAGATGCAGGGAAGCATCCACCCTTAATGTTGTTTTCACAGGTGATATCAGAAAAATAAGAAGAGTGCAATAAATTATTCCTAAAGCTGAATGTTTTCAATGTGAAGATTTTATTCCTTAGTCTGTCTCCTTCCTACTATTTTAGGATCAAGATGGTCCTTTCTTTCTTTTTTTTTTTTTTTTTGCGGTACGCGGGCCTCTCACTGTTGTGGCCTCTCCTGTTGCGGAGCACAGGCTCCGGACGCACAGGCTCAGCGGCCATGGCTCACGGGTCCAGCCGCTCCGCGGCATGTGGGATCTTCCCAGACCGGGACACGAACCCGTGTCCCCTGCATCGGCAGGCAGACTCTCAACCACTGCGCCACCAGGGAAGCCCTGGTCCTTTCTTTTATAAGAACTGTAGTGATAGATGTTAGGTTTTTAAAAACATCCTTCCTTGGCAAAATAAAAACTTGGTAGCCCTAAGCCAATCCCCCCAACTTTGTTTTGGTAGTTTCTTGGTCCAGACAAACTACATTTGAGAACCACTTGTCTATACCACCCTCTGAACCAAGGAATTCAGGGTCAGTTGTCCAGTTATCACTAGTTCTCATCTACTTATCACAATTGTGACCAGACAGCCTTGGGGGCAACAAACAACCTACAGAAAATTTAAGTCTAATTTTAGTCAATATTCAGGGGAGGGGGGAATGAAAAATTTTATGGTTTATAAATTTGTGGTCTGTAAGTTCCTGGTCACTCTGGAACTTTATCCTCCGTCCACAGGCCCCTCGCTGCACCCTATCCACCCCTTATCCTCAAAGTTATCGCCTCCCAGTTTTGAAATCAGCTTCAGGGTGCTGCGCCCACCTTTGCTCTTCCCACCACTAATCTGGGAACCCCAAATCAAGACACTTCACCCTCCTGGGATTTTGAGAAGTCAGCCTTACAGCACCTAAGGCTTTTGAGAATGATTCACAGCATTTTGTCAGCTAAAATCCCACTGAAATAAATGCCCAAGGCTAGCTTCTCACTACTGCAGCATCTCACCCAATCCAGGTGATTCTAAAATCCATCCACCCAGAAAAGCCCCACTGAGGCTGGCTTGGGAAGCCAAAGCTGAGGAGGGTCACTTGCCCCTCCAGAGCCTCCAAACGGATAACAATGGCAAGAAAATCAGCTAGGATAAGTCATGACAGGCTTTCAACTATTTACAAGACTTTTTCAACCAAGAATACATTAATATGTTACCGTAAAGTTAAAATTCCTTATTTTCCAGGGATTATAACTACTTTTAATTGAAAACTGTGTGCTACTTAAATTTTTCTTTATTTAGGTTTTCCCCAAAATGATTTTTTATTTATTTATTTATTTTTGGTACGCGGGCCTCTCACTGTTGTGGCCTCTCCCGTTCCGGAGCACAGGCTCCGTGCATGCAAGCTCAGCGGCCATGGCTCACGGGCCCAGCCGCTCCACGGCATGTGGGATCTTCCCGGACCGGGGCACGAACCCGTGTCCCCTGCATCGGCAGGCGGACTCTCAACCACTGCGCCACCAGGGAAGCCCCCAAAATGAATTTTTTTAAAAAAACCATTCCAGTTAAAAAAAAAAATCCATAAACACTAAATATTTTAATATCTTTATTTACCTTGTCTCTAGCTGAGCTAACCAGTGACCTATATTTGTTGTGAAGAGTTAATTTCCTAGAATAAACATGCACATAAACATACAAATGTGACAATATTTTGAGTTCTATGAAGCTAATAAAGGTAACATTTGTTGGGCCAGCCACTGGGCCCTTTACTTGGATTACCCCAGTTAGTCCTTACAACAGACCTATAAAGCAGGTATTATTCCTATTCCCATTTTATAGATGAGGTTATAAATGAGGAGCTTCATTTCTGTAATTTAATCTTCAATAACCCAGAATTTGAGTTCAGTGTTTACTCTGGCTATAGAAAGGTTGAATAAGCATATTAGAAATAAAACAGCATTGCAGAAGGCATAGTTAACCTCCCAGAAGGTCCTACATCTTAAGACATACTGAAAAACAGATGCTAATTGCAAGTCTTCCAACAGGAACTGTTTGGGAAGGTTCTGTCTGAAACTATACTATGTTAAAGCACTTTAAAATTCAGACTTTCACTAGTTAAGAGTGAGTTTTCTTTCACTGTTACCCCAACAATTAGTCCCAATTAGTAAGGTCTCTATATCTGATACAGTACGGTGGATGTCCACTGTCACTCTCCCCATGTCCATTTCCCTCCTCCTTCAACAGTACTCACAGCTCTGCTTCCCCCACCCTGGTGCTTTGAGGAAAGCTACACTGCCAGCGTAGGGATAGGCCAATCAGGAAAATCTCCCATCCCTGCCAATCAACAAGAAGGCGTTCACCTAGCCAATGTGACTGGCTAAAGAATGAGCACATGACTCAGTTCAAGCCAATGAAATGCAGGGTTGGTTTGCTGGGGAGGGGCTTCTGGGAAAGACACTTTCTCAGTCTTTTCAAGAGTTACGGCAAGGGACGTTTCTTTCTTTCTGGCCAGAGGGATGTGCAACAATAAGCCCAGGAACTTCTGTGGCCATTCTGCCTCCAGGAGAGAGGCCAGCCTGAGGATGGACTGATACCATGGAAGAGTGGCAGAGAGATGGGAAGAAACTGGACTCCTGATGACAAGTTGAGCTGTTGTCTCACATGCACCCTGTCGTCCATCCCATCCCTGCTTTTTGCTAGTACAAACCACTTAATTAATTCCCTGTGCTGTGGGAGCCCCTTTAAGTTCAGTTTTATGATATTCACAACCCCCAAGTAATCCAAACTGATAAATTGGAAATAAGCACTCATCCACAGCTTTTTCCTAGCACTTGCTCAGATTCTGCTTGGTCCTGTTTCAAGTGGTTTTGTGTTGTTTTTCTTGAGAAAATATAATGGGCTTTCAATAAACACTTTCATGAATTAATGAGTGGTCTTGGGCAAGTCACTTGATCTCCTTGGGTCTTTTCAACTATAAGAAGGATGAAGTTTGATTAGAGGGTTTCTGGTGCTCCTTCCAGCCCTCACAGCCAATGGTTCTATGGAGCTGACCCAATATTGCAAAGTTTCACACTCAAACAAACGAAAAACCCTCTTTTGGTCCTAAAGTAGAAACAACCCTTTTAATATATTCCAAGCGATCTGCATCTCTTGGTCGGTCAGATATTTTCCATTTGTGCCCTGATACCCATCCCCGATGTGTCTCCACTCAGCTTACACCCCTAGAGGTTCTGATCTCTGCACAGCTTCAATATGCTCCCTGCCTCCTGGCTTCTGGCTGAGTATGCCTAATGGGAGGCACCATCAGGAGACGGGAGAACTGACAGGGAGTTCAACGAGGATATCCATTTTCTTGGCTCTTTCCCGGCCATGTTGCTGTAGGTTGACTGCCTCCTACCAGAGATTGCCTTTCTGTACAGCTTCTGATAAACAATCCCTCCCTCTTCTTTTCACGCCCAGGTATGGGAACAGCTTCCTGACATTGCTAACCCTGGGATGCTTCAACATCCCGTGCTGGTTTCTCTTAACCCTGCTGATGCCACTATGAGCAGTTCCTTCAGTAGAGACTCTTGGACTACTCCATTTGAGTGAACCATCTGTTTCCTACTGGAACCCCAAGACACAGTGGCTTAAAAATTAAATCAAAATCAGGCACAGTAAAAAAGAAACAGAAGCAATCAACTGTGAGTCTCACAGAAGAAACAGGAAAAGTGTGGAACTTGCCAAGAAAAAAACCTGCACACACCGAAAGAACCAAATTAGACACCACCACCCTCCTTCCCCACCGTCACTAAGAATTTGTGGGAGTCATCTTTTGCGAGAACAGGGTTTAAAACTGAAAAACAAAAAATTCTCTTTATACACAAACCTATTGACCCTCCAGACAGCTTCTGTGTGAGATCTGGCAGAGGAATCATAGCTATGTGACCATTTTCTAGAGGGACAAACTGAGCCTGGAACGAGAACACAGGGCCAGAACTGACAAAAACATTAGAAATGCCCCAGGGCCAGTTCAAAGGCTCCTTGGTCCAGGAATCTGCCTCTGACAGGCTCTGTGAAGTTTCTCAGAGTGGCCTTCTACAGCAATTCTCCAGAGATGTTTAATTCCCACTTATAGAAGCTACCATCCATGAACATCTTTTGCATCCTTCACTACCTGCAACAACTCTGCAAAACCAAGAGAGACGAGACAGGATGCCCTCAGCCCCATGCCAAGTGATGCTGAATTCCAATACGTGAAACCGCAAGCGCTGACCGTTTCCCAGACACCTATGGATGTCCAGGCCCAGAGCAGCCAACCTCCCCTCTGTGGGGCATTTTCCACACCACATGGATCAAAGAAACGATTTTATGACCCCTTCATCATAAAGCATTCAAACACCCAGAATGTCGGAGAAGCTACCTGTTTCACGATTAAGAGGCTTAATCTCTCAGGGTCGTCCTGCTTCCGTGTCTTCCTCTTTCAGCATCCTCCAGAGCCGGGGCCTGTAGGGGTGACCCAGAAAGCACATTCAGGATATCTGGCTTCAACATGGGGACAGATCATATATCAATCAGGGAGGGACTAGACAGGCAGCCAAGGATGGAGCCCTGAAGAACCCAGCAGTGGATGGACCTGCCTGGGAGGAGGGCCCTGAAAGGTCCCTGAGGGTGGAGAGGACTTAGGAGAGAAAGACACTCAATTCCAGTCTTCTAGTCACTCAGGCCCCAAACCAGGAGTCATTGTGACTCCCCTGTTTCCTTCGCACCCCACGTCCAATCCATCAGCGAATGATGCCAGCTTTACCTGCAAAATGTATCCACCTCCACTGCTACCACTTTGGTCCAAGCAGCTTCTCTCATTAGAATACTGCAATAACCTCCTAGCTGGTCCCCCTACTTTTATCCTTGCCTGTCTATAATCCATGTATCATGCAGGTTGAACTGTGTTATGGGTCAAACTGTGTCTCCCCGCAGTTCCTATGTTGAAGTCCTAACCCCAGGACCTCAGAATATGAACTTATTTGGAAATAGGTTTGAAGCTGAGGTAACTAACTATTAAGATGAGCTCACACATCATACATTGAGTAGGATGGGTCCCTAATCCAATATGACTGGTGTTCTTATAAAAAGGGGAGATTTGGACACAGACATCTACACAGGGAGAGCACCATGTGAAGACTGGACTCACGCTGCCCCAAGCAAAGAAACTACCAGAGCTAAGAGAGAGCTCTGGAACAGATCCTTCCCTAGCACCTTCAGAGGGATCATGGCCCTGCAGACACCTTGGTCTTGGACTTTTGGCCTCCAGAACTGTGAGATGGTAAATTTTTATTGTTTAAGCCACCATGCTCCCCACACCAGCCTAAAAATCACTCTTCTGCTCAAAACATTCCTATAGCATCTTACATCTCTCAGAGTAAAAGACAAAGTCCTTGAAATGTCCTACATGGCTCCATGACCTGCCCCAGCCTCTTCTCTTACCTCTTCTCCTACTCTGCCCTTCTTCAATTTCCTACAGCCACAATGGCTTCCTCAAGCATCCCAAGCAGGCTCCTGCCTCAGGGCCTTTGCACGTGCTCTTCCCTCTGCCTGGAACACTGTTCCACTAGGCTTCCTTCACTTCCTTCAGGTTTCTGCGATAATATCACCTTCTCAGTGAGACCCTCCTGACAACCCCAGCAGCCTTCCCTATTGTATTTTTCTTTGTAGTGCTCATCACCACCTGACATTTGTTTATATTTTTATCCCTCTTTCCTCACACTAGACTAGGAACTCCCTGAAAGCAGGGACATGGAATTATGGTATGCCCCAGAGCCCAGCACATAGTAGGTGCTTACGTAATAGTGGCTGAGAGATTTATTTGCGGACTGAAAGAAGCCAAGAGAAAAAGTTGCAAGAAGGAGGAAGTTGTCAACGGTGTCAAAAGTAGCAAAGGGTCCAGAAAGATAAGGACCGAAGTGTCCGTTGGGTGTGGTAATATGGAGGCCACAGGTGACCTGAGAGGGGACAGCTCACGTGGAAGCAGGAGCCCCTCACAGCAAACCCACCAGGTCCCTCCCCTGTGCCAGTCACACCTCCCACGGGCAGAAGCCAACCTGAGCGGGCTGCCTCAGCGAAGGAGCAAAACCCGAGGGCAGATTCTTTCCAGGCGTCTCGCGAGGGAAGGAGAAGAGGGAATGAGAAAAAGGGGGGGGTGAAGGTTTGAGGAAAGACTACAGCAGAATGACTGGAGCGGGTGACGTCCCGGAAGCTGCACGGGCACCCGGGTGCAGGAGGAAGGTTCCATCTGGCCAGGAAGAGGAGGAGGGGTGTGTCCTCCTCTGAGTGGAAGGAAACCATGCTGGGATGAGCCCAGATGGGGATAACTGCACGAGGCGGGGAGGCGAGAACCTGAGTGAGCTCACTGCTGAGCGAGGGGACCTTGTCAGTAACCAGTGAAGGCAGGAGGTCTCCTGAGTGACGAAGGGAAGACAGGGAGGGGGGCTGGATGAAGTGGGGACCGTGGGAAACATCCTGCAGGGTCAGCCCTGAAACCGAGTACCTCCTCGAATTCTGTGCCCCACGTACCTCCTCGCCTTGTGAAGTGCCAACCCTGACGGGAGAGAGAGCCAGCCGCTGGCCAGCATCACTGAGGGCTCAGCTGAAACAAGAGGCCGTGGGCTCAGACACACACAATTCACGTGGCTATGCGTTTCTGGGACAGGACCTTGGCAGCGTGGATTTAGGAGAAGGGTCTTCCTCCAACTGAAGAATTCCAAGACCCCAAACAGCTCCATCCCTTTTTGTCAGGGCTGCATCACTCACCCAGGCCCCCAGATTCAGCCCTTTGAGCCCCTCTGGGTCCTCACTCTCCACTCCCGATTCCTCCCAGTCAGTCACAAATCCTGCCTATTACACTTGTGTGCTGGGTGCGACCCAAGCTAAAACCCTCACACACCAGTCCTGTGAGGTGTTCTGAGTGTCTATTTACAGTTGATAAAACTGAGTTTTGATGAAGTCACCTGCTCAAGGTCACACAGGTAGCAAGTGGCAGAGCTGGGGTTTGAAATCTTCCATCTCTCTTTCCTCTTGTCCATATTCATGCCACCACCCTGGTCCAAGGCCTCAACGTTTCATTCCTAAAATTCAATGTGATAAATGTCTTCTAACTCACCTCCCAGCATTCCCCTGTTACAGGGCACACATCCGAATGAAGCTTCTTACAACACCGTTTTGTTTTCCTGTTCCAATAAAACTTTATTTACAAAAATAGGCACCAGGCCATAGTTGGCCTGTAAGTCACAGTTTTCCAACCACTGATTTATAGTCTTCATGGAATTACGAAAAGTTTTGTCCATTATTTGTTCAAATATTTTTCCCTCTCCCCTTTCTCTCTCACTGGGATTTCAATCACACATACGTTAGACCACTTAATGTTGTCCCACAAGGTGTCAACGCTATGTTTTTGTTTTAAATATCTCTGTGCTTCTTTTCGGATAGTTTCTGTTGCTATGTCTTCAAGTTGGCGTCTAATCTGCTTTAATCTCATGCAGTGTGTTTTTTATTTCGAATCTTTCAGCTCTAAAAGTTCCATTGGAATCTTCTACTTCTCTCCTCTTTTACGATCTCCTCTCCTTGTTGAACATGTGGAGTGTATTTATAACAGTTCACAGCACTGTTTTTACCTATCCCCGTCCCACGCAATTGGAAGGGCTCCTTCTTCAATCTTGCTTCCCACACGCACACTCCACTGTACCCCATCCAGAATGCTCCTCCCCTTTCCATGCACCCCTCAAGGCCCAATGACAGGACATTCCTCCCCACCCCATCCCCATAGCTCCACCCCTCTGAGCGCCCTGCTCGCGCCCCAGCTTGCTGAGCAATCCCTGCTCTTCTGAGCTCACTGCACTTAGCTTCTCTTGGCAAGTGTTCCATTTGCTAAGTTTCCGTGTAGATGGCACACCCCTTGAAGGTAATTAATATATGCGTTG